GAAGGCTGGATTGTTTTTTAGAGGGCTCTCAAGTTAAATTTCTGTATTGTAGTTGTAATGGGCCTGTCTATTAGGAGAGCTCCTAGGAAAGAAAATGGCAGCATGGGTCCTGAATGATACTAGTTCCCTTTCTTGCTAGGCTTGGGGTCAGATCCTTTGTCCCCACAATATTTGATGAACAYAGCTGGCTCTTTCTACTTTCTTATGGAGCTGCAGAAGGAGCCACAGGAGAACCTGACAAATCATGTTAAATGCGAGAGTTGTTTTCTCCTGTGATTTGTGTAAATCTTCTCCATAAACTGTTTCACCCTCTGTTCCTTCCATAAATTCACTTTCTTCTGCCTTAGCTCCACTTTTCTTTAAGAAAATCCAAGGCTGACCTTCTCCCAGATGGTGWTTTTTCAGGTATCAGTCTTATTTCCCAAATCTTTAATGTCTTCCAGAGTCCTGCCAAGTTCTTATGAAACAAACAATGGAGGAGTCGGAACATGAAGTGTTTCCTTTAGTTATCATCTAGGGGAGCATGTGTCTGTTAAGTGTTAAATGAAAAAAAGTCAATGACATCTGTCTCTTAATTAAAGCGGACAGTTGGAGCTGGATACCCACAAGACACTATCATAACAGAAGCAGCCTGAAGGAGCATCATCAACAGATTCATTAGTAACCGCAGAAGGAAGGTGTTAATTAGGGAATACATGATCCTACCATCAGACCAATTTGGGAAAAAAGAAGGTGAATGATATGGAGATGAGCTGCCAGTGATTTAATATATCATAATTATTGTGCACACTGCACTGGCTTTAATGGCTGTGGTGTAGCAGGGTGGGATGCTGGTTAATTCACATTACTGTCAAGTCAGGCAGTTAAAGCCTTAAAAAGTAAATGAGGAAGTTTAATTGGCTGTTCAGAATCAAATAACATGCACTTTATTACCAAATTTCACCATTAGCAGCCTGGAAAACCACTGCTGTCTGAAAAGAGGGAGAGGCAGCGGAATGGTCAAGTATAAGGAGACGACTAAATGGCAGGGGCTGAGGTTCAAGTGCTGGACCGGAGTGCGGCGTTTCGGCAACCGAGGAGCAGATTGGCCCTTAAAGCAGGTGCGCTGGGATAGCAAACACACATGGTCAGTAGGCTGAAGACTCTGAAAGTGGAAAGCCACAAACTGGTTAAGAATAAAAAGCAGCTTCACGTGCTCAGTGTTTCATAGTGATTCTGAAAGAGGTTTAGAGCAGGAGAAGGAAAGTGATGAGGCTTAATGCAGAAGGCTTGAGAGCTCATGCGAGACTAAGCTGCTGAGTTTAGGTGTGGTTTTTATGAGCTAAATTGAAAATACAGATCTTTTATCTGCATGCAAGCATACCTTTCTTCTCCCATATGTGCCTTAGTGTTTTTCATTAGTGCAGGCTCAAAGTTGATGATAAACTTTGCTTCTGTATGCTTCAGAAATTACTAGAGTCTCTGAGCTCTTGATATAAATAAATTTCTTGCAAAGAAAACATTCTCTGTCCCAGATACTGACTAGATGTCCYGATGGACCATTATTTTTGAGCATCCTTCATGATACTGCAGCAATAGGTCGTCTTAGCTCCCAGATGGAAGTCTGGGCTGTTCTTAAAGTGAGGTGCTACTTTACCATAAATTCTTTCCATGTAAGTGCTACTAACTTCATCCCAAGAGACTCTTCTGTTAAAGAAGAACAAACAAAGAACTATTTCTTCCTCATTCCTTTCTCATTCATGTCTTCTAGCAAAAATTTAAGCTGCTCTTTTATAATCATGAGGATTTTTTCCCCACTTTCTAAATATGTGCTTTGCAATTAAGATTTAGTCCGCTTCTCAAAAGGAAAAGCAAAGTTGGTTTAATGCAATGGAAGAGCAGAGCTGTGTTCCTCCAGAGATAATTACTTTGAAGATAATTATAGCTGAAAAACGGCCATCAAAACCCTTTCAGAACCTTTCTTTTACATAAAAAAAATAAAGCCTGCTTCACAGCAGAAATGAAGCCTGCATTTGGCTTGTACCACATTATAAAAGCAGAACCTAAGATTGAATGGACTGCRTATGTCGAGTCCTTCTTCTCTTCCCAAGAGTGACCAGCAATAGAGGCCTCAGAACAGAGGACAGGAGCAAATTTCTTTCTAACCTTTTAATATTCAGAGCTTGGCATATGCTGTGAAGCATATGTGAACTATGTGGATGGATGAAACTGTTAATTTTTATTGTGAAGAACCTGGCAGAGGGTCTTTGTTCTGGTGATGTAATTCCAGGTAACTGCACTTAGCTCATCGAAAAAGCTCCATTTTACTCCAGGCAGTTTGAAATCAGAATCTGTCTGCAGGCCTTTCAGAAACGCTGTGGGTCTATACTTCATAATCCTTTAAATCTTCCTGCTAATCTTTGCAACAGCCTTTTCTGAGGTGGTTTCTCTTTAATGCTGTTCCGTGCCACGGCTTATGCTCCGTTAGCCTTGCTGCCAAATGAAGTACCTCGATCAAGCAAGTGCTATTCTTAATCAGAGCAGGCATCCCAGGGTAATTCAGCAATTTCCTTTTGGGCAATGTGAAGCCATTAGCAAGTTCATACCATTTTGCCCTTATTTAATTACACCCTAAGGAGAGGACTGAACTAGCAGAATAGCTGAAGGCTGAGGTGACCCAGTAAGGACTCCAGGCATGAAGGCTTCTTTTTAATATTTCATGTGAAATCCAAGCAGCAGCCTGCAGCAGAGGGGCTTTGGTTTCACTCAGTGCACACATGCAAAGCCTTTTATTCATTTCCACGGAAATATCCATTTCAGAGGCTATCATACAGAATCATCAAATGTATATTAGCTTTTTGAGGTCTGGCAGCCCTTCCCAAACTAGGTGACTGAGCCAGGCAGATACGATGCCGAGGGACTTACCTTTATGTCCCAAGAGGGCTCGATGGCGGCATTGCTGGAAATGATACAGGGTGGTTGTATATAGGGTGGTTAATGAAGCCTGCAGTAAAAGCACAGTCAGATCCCTGGTGCTCGAGGGAAGGTGTTTGGCGAGGGCCTCGCTGTGCGTGCGAGGGCCGAGCACTCTCCGTGCTGGGTAGCGTTGTGTTCTTTCAGTGCCACCGAGAGACTCACTGCTGCAGAGCCAAGGTGCCCAGCGCTGCATCCTCGTCCCACTCTGCACTAGTAACCTGAAGCATTTGGCAAGCACTGTCACCTGTCCTCCTAAGAGCCTGTGAGTGGCTGTTCCCCGTCTAGCTTGTCCCCTCCTCTGAAGTGCACTGCTAAAGGCACCTGCATCCCCTGCCCTCCATGCAGGGAGGCACCCGAGTGCCCATCTCCTCTCGGGCTCACTGCCACTCCTGCAGAGGTGACTGACTTTGCTTGAGGCCTGGATTAAAATGGGCTTGTCTGGTGGCCTTTCTTAGTGAAGGAAGTGCTCGTTTGGTGAGCAGGAAAGCTGGGAAGTTTCCAGAGAGATGTGGATTTGCTAAGTGCAGTGCTAAATATGTACAAAAATAGTGTTTATTTAGGTCCTGTGGTGTTTTGCTTTTTTTATTTTATTTATATATATATATACACTTCAGAATTTATTCATTTTTTATGTATGAATTTTGCACTTAAAAAGGACTGTTGTAATGAAGAGGTATTTAATAGGAGGAGCAAGGCTGACAGGGGGAGAGGTGAGTGTGCAGAGAGTGGCTGAGAAGAAACGGAATATTAAAAATCAGRGTTCATATGAAGGTTCACACCAGTCATTTCAGCTAGGAGTTCTGCTTAGGAATCAACGTTCCCAAGAAATTTCATAGGCTGAAAAGCCAGAAATAATTGCTTTTAGAGAGGTGTTCCACTAAAGTAATTAGAATGCATTTATAGCTGGGAAGAAGCTTCATTTTGCCTTGTCTGTGACTATTTCAAGACAAATCCAGCAGTGCACAGCTGAGATCAAGTCACTGAATTAGAAAAGGCTCCAGAGCTTAGGGTTCTGCTTAGGTCTGTCGCTATTAGTGAAGTCTGAATGTCTGCAGCTGACCTCTCGCATACCTGTCTGTTGGGTAGGTAGAGAGCAGCCTTGCAACAAAGGCCTTCACTGGGTTTTACATTACTTTTTACTTGCTTATTTTATCCTTTCTCTTCTCAAATTTTGACATGGAAGCAAACTCCAGAGCTTGTACCATGGGTAGAGGTGAATTATTTTGGTTGTTGCAGTTACAAATGATTTTTAGTTTTGATATTTTCATTACAAATATGCACAGGCCCATGCAAATTTGAGCAAGAAACCTATAATGACGTTATAAATGCCTGGTATTTCTCTCGTTAGAATAAAGATAATGAAAGAATGGGAGCAAACAGAACTGTAATCACCGTTTTACAAAACTGCAGAGCTAATTTGCAAGGCTTGTTATTGTAAATACAAGCGTAGGTGCCTAAGGACTTTAAAGTGTAATTAACATTTTCACCTGGTAAGATTCATACTCTCTTTTTTTTCCCCTCTTACTTTCTTCTGCCTTTTATTTTCTCAGCTTGTTTTTCAAATATCGGCCTACTAAAGAGAAATAACTGTAGTAGCTGCTAAACTAGTGCTCACCAGTGAGCAAATTCTATTGAAACTTCATCCTACCCTGGTCTAATTGCTGATCCTTAAACTTCCGCTGGTCCCTCCAGGGATCTTTTGACACCGAATGTGTGTAAAACCTCTAGAAGTTTTTTCTTCACAAGGGCAGAGTGAAATGAAGCGAAACTGGAGCTATTTAGGATGGTATTAGGAGGAAGGAGGATTAATAACAAATATATTTTGAGTTTCTTGATAAGGGAGTCAATCCTGTGCTGGTCTCTCTCTGGAAAGCTTTCTGTAATACATTGATTAAATCTCACTAGAGTTAATCGTAGTGTTTCTTTTGATTTCAGTAGCCTTTGGATCTAGTTCAGGGAGTGAATCCTGCCTTAAAGTTATTTGAAATGGAAGGAACTGTGGCACTTTAATGTCGTTGTTAGCCACAAAGAGCTGGTGAGCATGTAGATCAGAAGCTGTCACCTTGAAGACTTTGGATGTGTAATGCAGGAGGGAGCAGAAGGTGAGTCTGGCTAAGTGTACTAAGGTGAGGAGAGATGTATTGGAATAGAGATAAAACATCTGCCACGATTCTCTCTTGACTTTCCATCCTGATAAATGTTTTGCATAATTATAGAGAAAAGAGGTTTTCAAAAGCACAAATAGGACTTGGGCATAAAACTTCTGCTTATATTCAAGATTTTCTGAAAAAAATGAAGCTATTGTGGCTTTATGAGTAAAGAAATTCAATCTATCCATTTATTATTATTATCCAAATCTATTTATTTATTTTTATCCAAAGACTGCTGAAAGCAAAAGAGTCTCTCCCGTTAATTTCAATGTGTCTTCTGCTGAGCTCTAATAAAATGTCAGCATGCCCTGGCAAATGGCTGGAATGGAGCTGTCAGTCCGTACTCATAGCATCAGACTATTTCATGAGCTGGGAGCTGCAGCACCCAGAATGTCTGCAAGCATAGGTAGCTGAACCAGCTCCTTTGAGTGTGGAATTATTATGGTAAACCTGTTGATCAATATTGTGTGTATTCTTAGCACTTTCATGCTGAGGCTTCTCATTTTGTGCATTAATGCTGGTAGTAGTTTTGCTTCTTTCTGCAATCAGATACCGTAAGCCTGAGGTCTTTTCCTTTTACCCTTTACTTCCACAGTTAATTATTCCTTCAGCTCTAGAAAGCAAATAGGGCCTTTTTTTTTTTTGTAGTTAGCAAGTTAATCTTTTCTGTTCAGCCTTCATCAGAACTTGGCATCAGCCCTTAACTTTCCCCTTACTCTCTCTGCGGAGCAGCAGAGCTGCTTCCTGGGGAAATTCTGCAGTTTCTTTGAGGACTCCGAGTCTGCACGTCTGCTATCCAGCTCATGGGTGGGAGGGAGAGGATTTTCCAGGCTATAAATCATCATCAGAGCTTAGCTTAAAGATTAATGTGTTTGAGTTCCTAACACAATGTGGAATTCTGTTAAACTCTATGCAAGACAAGTTTAAATATACCAATAGCCAAGGACTTTAGGGACCACTTCATGGCAGCGTTTGCAGTCTATCCAAATATCTCAAAGACAAATGAATAGATAAAAGATAGGACGCTTCTTTGCTTTTGTAGCTTCTGATTTATTGAGTCATCAATGTAACTAATTTTGATAGACTGCAGATCACACCATCTTACAACCTTACCTTTCATTACTACAGTGCAATCCTTATGCTTCAGTATGAGTTACACTTTAAACAGGATTTCAGCTGGAACTTGAATTTAACCCTCAATGTATTTATGAACACTGGTGGTTACCATGGATTCTTGTTTCTACAAAAACGGGGCAGGCAGATTCCTACGTGCATTAAAACCCCACCAGTTTCATGTGAGCACAATGGCTACTCTGGAGCATCAGGGCTGTTTTGTGCTCAAACTGAAAGCACTGTCTTTACAAAATGAGCAAAATGTCCTTGTTCTTACAATGAAGCTGTTCATCAAATAAGCTGGCTTACAATCATGCCTCTCCTGTTAACTATGTTAACTGTTAACTTCATGAACTGCACAATATGTCACATCTACACAAATGCCACTCTACTTTTTGTAATATATTCAAATGCTAATAGTGAGCGCAGAATATAGCCACAAACTCCTGATCCTCTCCATTTGCTGCTTTCCCTTCAGATCCTAATTGGCTGTAAATACTCTATTTGGAAGCTGCTGTGGCTTGTGATACCTTTTGTATCAAGGTCAAACTGACAACAAGACTACTGTCTTCTAAGAAATTGGTATAATCCAAGGCAACTTCCATGTTGGCTTTGAAATGGAAAATTAAGATATGTTCACCAATGGACATCATTGATGGTTTTGCAGAGACCACCATAACTTTTTCAGCCTTCACATAATATGTCTTTTTGGTTGTTTTTAATGAAATGGCACAGTCATTACAACAAGGTTTTATTGATACGTAGAATTTTTCCTAGCATTATCCATCATGATTTGCAGTGTTGACTGTTAATTTGCATACCTGTAGGTGACCCCAGATACAGACCAAGCATGACTCTGTCTGAAAATTTATACTATACAACATTTTAAATATGGAAATAGATTTTATTATAGTTTTGAAACATATATAGGCAGGTATATAGGTAGGATATACAAACGGTGAAATACATATAACYTTTCCTTTTTGAAGCAGGTTACTGAGAAAGCGCAATAACAACTCAAGTATCTCTGAGGACTCCTACTTTCCTTGAACAATTTCAATTCTTATTTTGTATCTACAGCAATGACTTATATGAAGGTTATAGTTTTGTGTGTTTGAGGCATTCTCTTGAATTTGCTATTTCTACAGAGTGTGACATTTCCTCAAATACTGAAATGTAAGATTGTACCACCATAGAGCAGGAACCAAGCACTCCCTGCAACATTCGCTTACCCCCAGGTAAGTGACTGAATTTACTGTCCAGACTAGTGTGTGTTGGAATAACCATAAATGAGAGTCCAGAACACACATCAGAGCAGACAGGAATTCCGCATAGCTGGAAATTCCTGGGAATCCAGGAACAATTAAGAAGTCCATGGAAGCCAATTCTATAACTCTCTGCACCCCACACCATTGCTCCTGACACTGTGCCCACAGGCAGCACTGCAAGAGCCGGAGCCAAGTTGCTACTTTTTTGGCACCCCATCATGAGCCCTTCTGCAGCTCAGCTGCAGATTTGCAGCTCAGTTACAGTGGGTAGGACAGCTCACGTATTTCCTGAGGTCAGTGCTGCTTGTATTTAACTTATGGGATATTCTCATGGGCTCATTTTCTTCATGTTTTATTGCAAATGGTCTTGAAGTCTGTAAAATGTTGGGCGCAACATTTTGTAGTGATTAGCACTCCCAGCAAACCCCAGAACTGTCAATTCCTTTTATTAAATTCCTAAGCTTCATTATCTTGCCTTCATTGACACAACTCTGTCAATAGCGGGTCATCRTGTGTGCACTGAATTGAGCATTTTGTGTTTGAAGGGAATGCCAGGAGACAGCTCGGTGTGTTCGGACAGGGATTGGTRTTTTCTTACTAGATCCCAAAAGCTGACATGCAGCAATTCAAATATATTATCATGTGAGTGATTATGGGAGCAATTATCAAAAAATACTGCTCTAATATTAAGTCATTAATGGTCAAAACCTGTCATCCAGCTGTCACTTTAGCTGCTCWTGGTTGCATACAACTGGGTTGCTCTCATGAATTCTAGTAAGATTTTTATGCTAAATGGGTTAATCCCTCCTCCCAGCTGAAAAACTTKAAGTTAGGTGCAAAAATCCCCAAAGCAAGAAAAACTACTGGGAAAAAAATACAGAAGTGTAAATCAAGAAAGTAATATTGAACTTCAGAAGACAGCTTACAATAATATGACACTTTATTCCACTGCTGCCTGAGGTTTATGTATACTACTGTCACTTTCTTACTGTTCTCCACCACTAGTAATTTTCTTTCAATCTAATTTTTATTTCCCAAGGGTTTGCCAAGGTTAAAAGTGCTAGAAAACCAATGACTATTCACTTGCCAAAGGACAATAAATTAAATTAACCGTTTTTGGTAGCCAAGTCAGGTCAGAACTATTTATATGTAAATAGGAGCAAAACCCTGATGGCAGACTATATGATTATTAGCAGCTCGTGGCAGACACAGTATTGAAAATTAAAGGCCCTGCAAAAGCAATGTGTTTTGTTTCAATTCTGCCTGCTGCTTGCAAGAAAATCATTTAATTTTTGCTTTCCCAGGAGCTTATTAGTGGCCTTGCTATGCTGTAGAAGCCTAATTATTCAAGGTCAAACTTGATGGGATCTTTTAGTAASTTATTTATTTAAATTATCTTCTCCTACTGGCCATAATAGCAATTTCCAATTGATGGTACTAATGCGGGTGGGTTTAATGTAGGCAGTGTTGGTCTCCCATTGTTGAGGTGCTAAGAGCTACCACAGTCAGTGTTCCCCAACCACAGCTGCATGGCGAAGGCCCTAAGATGCAGTAACCTTTTCCCAGGGAATAAACGTTCCTCTCGTAGTGTCACCTCTGTGAGCCACCTCCTTATCTCATCAAACCTTCTGGGCTGCAGCTGTAGCGCGGGGCAGGACCTGGCTGGTAGTCATGAAAACTCCGCCTTGGAGGCAGCGCCCCAGGGGCACTCCGAGCTGTGGGTTAGTGCTCTGGTAGAGATCAGAGCAATGTACGCGCAGATAAAACGAGCTCTAATAATCTTTATATTGGAGTTCTTTCCTGAAGCACGAGTGCACGGTATATGTGTGCTGAGACTAAACTTGTCTTCATTCTGTCTTTGATTACTGTGTGTTCGATTAAAACTGGGAACTTGAAAGCTTTCTCGTTGCTGCTCTTTACTGAGAGTAGGGAACTGCTGCTTGTCCAGCGTGCTGTCCACTGCCACCTCGATTCTAAGAGATTTTTGTTGYTATTTTTATGTAAAGAAGGATGCAGGGCTTGGCAGAGGGGAGAATGAGCACTTTTTGGAGCAGAAATGACATACAAGCTTTCATGGTGCTGTGGCAAGAGTTAGGACTTGGCTTCATGCAGTGAGTTTACAAAGGTGCCTCCATTCAATGTTCTGTATTTAAACAATTACCCAAGGAAGGATTATTATGTGGAATTCTGCAATTACTGTCTTGGTAGCTATAGATTAAATAGCAAGGAGCTTTCTTTTAATTAAGACCACAGGCCCCTGGTCAATTTTTCCCAAGTGGTATGAAATAAACAGGTAATTTAGATGCTGGGTGTTAGATGTCTGTATTTCAGACCACTTAATGACTTTAAGCTGCTCGTGTAAGGAATGTTTGTTTAAGAAAAGCACTCAAGTTAAATGCTTAAATTCCTAAGTCACTATCTGCACAGGCAGATCAGTTCTGAAGCACCACTGACATATTTGTGGCCAGGTATTTTGAAAGTCTGACTGGTTGCCTATATTATTGTCTGCCAAAGTAAATTAAAAATATGACTGCAAAATCTTCCTTTCGATTAAGGCACTCAAAATAATGAATCTGGACAGGCTAACTGTTAGGGCCAAGAATTACCTTTCTTTCTGAGGATTTATATATTACACACATTTTTTTGTCAGCTTTAACTGTCTCCTTCAGAGAATTTTTATTACCTTTTTTATACCCCTGAGTAATTCTTTTTTTGTTCTTTTCAGAAGGATCTGTTAGGTATCTTCATGGAAAATGGAACATACTGGGATATCAAATAGGCACTGAGAAAAACGGAAAGGTAATGCAAAGCTTAACTCTTTTCCCATGTATGTGATTATTGCAAGGAGTTCCTCTATCTGAATAAATGTTTCAGATCCCAGAAATTTATAGACCATCCATATGCACATTACTGTTCTGAACAAATAATATTTTCATGAAATGCTAACATATGGCATTCAGCTTTTCAATATAACTGGGATTAGACCTCAATTAGGTCTCAGTGCAAGAGTATTTAGCACTGTACTTTCATGTTAATTCCTGCAAGCACATGTACACGTGGACTTGCAAATTTGTTAGAGCATGATATTTTTAAGAGAAAATTTCAAAGTCTACAACTCACCCATTCCCAAATATAAGTGGATTCACAGGAAATGTATGTTTCTTTCCATATGGTTAGCTCTGCAGTTTTTCAATACAAGTTCTTTTCTTTGTGTTAAACTTATAAAATTGTCCAGTTTTCTTTGAGGCATAAAGCTAAATTTTCAGAATACACTTTGAATAACGTTGCATTTTTCCTAAATTTCCTGATTACACTGTAATGTATTGTAAACATATATCTTTTCTGTCTGGTTCAAAGATGCAAACACACATTCGATAAACAATTTGGAAAAGGAGATTCACAAACAGTTATAGTGTATTTTTGATCAGGTAGATATATTCCTTACCACTGAAACATTGTAGTGCTTGCTTTTTCGGCTTCAAGGATATTCAACTGCCAAAAAATTGAAAGTACTAAGTAATTAGAAAAACACCTAATTACAGTTCTACCAGTTGTGAATTGAGCCTGCTACAGGACACTCTCAATCTCAATAAGAATATCTCATTTAAAATAGGAACTGCTACTATAAAATATTCATTTTTCTGTTATTAAAATGAAATGTGGCTCCTTGGTGAAAACTGTTCTGTTTGTTTCAAGAGGAACAGATAGTTGACTGGTGGCCCTATGGGCAAATACATAAACTGTTTAAACATCCCATCAATAGAACTTAATTGCAGCTAAACATGCCCCAAATAACTAAATGAAACAGAAACAGCAGCATGAGCACGTGCTTCTGTCCGTGCTGCTCGGTGCAGGGACCGGGGAGGTTGGTGCCCGTGGGCAAGTGTGCTGGACTGCTCTGCTCCTGCAGGATGGGCCCGTCTTGCCCAGGGCTGAGCTCCTTAGGGGACCCTTGCAGGGCAGCTCTGCTTTCTTTGCAGCCCGCGTGTTTCACTTGTACAGCAAGAGAAAATAAAAAAAAAGTTGGATTTATTAATGTCCTCACTGAAGGCCTTCCTCTGTAAGTATGTGCCTAAGTGCTGACCTTTCCATCTGTGCTTACCCTTATTCACCTTGTGTCTGATTTAGAATTGCRTTTCAGCACTTAATTTGGTTTAATCAGATCATGTTGTGGATTGTTAAGCTGTTCCCAGAAACAAATGGGCACCTGATTCTTGTTTTCTTGGATAGTTTTCTCTAATAGGCAGCAGCCGGGGCAGGAGGGCTGTGAGCACAGGTTGAATTAGGCAGGTTTTTAAGAGTTTGGGTGTTTGGTGCTTTGTCTGGTGAGCCTTCCTTTTCCCTGAAGGGGACAAGGTGTCCTCTGTGACAGATGAATGGAGGTAAGTAATAACCAATATGACACAGGGAATTCATTAATTCCAGCAGTGTGATTTCTGCTATTCCTGCAGGGCAAAAGGCTCTGGGCACAATGGTGAAGAGAGGTGTTAAGTCTCTCACTCCTACTGTCCAATGGGGTATTTTACATCTAGAAGAATTAAATCATGTGCTGTATCCTATGTATTTAGGAGCTGCCCCTAGGTCCTTGGCACATAGTTGAGTGCCTGAGTTATGGGGCTGGAGTTCCTCTCCTTCAGTGCAAGGGATGAATTAAAGGTGATCCAGTAAGCTTGCCTTGTAGATCTCCTCCTGATGGCTTCCTTCAAATAAAGTGGGCTTTCGTTGGTTTTCTTACATTTTAGAATGGGAATAATTGTTTTTTTTTAATTAGCTCCTTGCTACATCAAGTGTTGGTATATGAGACCATTTCTCTTAAGCCATTACAGCTTTCAGTTCACAAGCACATCAGAATACCTCTAGTATCTTCATACCATTAGTAGTGCCAATATAAGCACATCCTTCTGAAGTGTTAGAGCTGGCCGCTTACTGTAAATGACTTTTCTATTAAAACGTGTGCCACTCTGCACGCTAATACCTGGAAAAGCCTGTCTGTACACAACAGCCATTGATTTCACATAAAGCACCCCTCAGTTCAGCATATCCCGAAGTTAAAATTGAAGCACCAGGAACACGACTATAAAGCAGGCTCTTTTAAGGTATTCTGTTTCTATAAAATAAATGTATTTTCTTCCAAAATTCTATTTGATGAAATAGCAGTGTGACTGTCCATAAAACTTARTGTGTGAACTGCTGCTGTATTTTTTTTTGCATATAATTATTTCAGTTAATATGGAAGTTATGGCCAGACATCTTCAGGGGAGATTCAACCTTATTAGTAAATCTCTTTGTTTGAAGCATTTCTAATTTATTAATCATAAATAAGTCTAGATGCAAATGAGCTAGGATGTCCTAGGAAGAGAATGGCTTTGGAAGAATTTGTCTTAGGTATATTGTTTTCAAGAGCATCTTTGGTTTTCCACAGACCTCAGTACATCTAAATAGCATAATTTGCAGTTATGCTTTTTCTTTTTCTCCCCCTGAATTGTATCATGCTGGGCTGCTTGTGTATGATGCATAAAAATAGGACAATAAAATAACTGTAAATGGAAGAGCAACAAGTATGTTATTTTAAAAATACCTAGGAATTCTCTCTTTGTATGATATTGCCCCTGGTGTTGCTACAGGTCAAACACATAGCCTTCAGAACATTTAAAAATCACCCATGGAAAAAGATTTCTCATTAATTACTTTAAAAGCTCTTTCTTTGTAAGATACTGTGAGTTTATATAAGGTTCGCAAATTCTGGAGGCTTAGGAGGGTCTCTCCTCTTCAGCTGCTGTAAAACAGTTGACAGAGTAATATAAATAATAAAATTTATTCTCTGTTTGCTTGTTCTCTTGTTGATATTAAGAATTCACTTTTGTGAGCATGGGATAATTAGCATTTCTTTAGAAAGGCATGCTGTAGACTGAAAATGCACTAAAGATTTTATTAGGCAGCAAAATAGTTGAAATATACTGATAAATGTGCTTTCTTGGGTCTGTATGTGACTGTATTTCTTCTGCAGTTTAACAGAAAAAAAGACACTATATCCTGTGTGTAGGTGATGGATATATCACGATTTTTGCTGTCTATATCATATCACCYCCTCACAGATTGCAGAGGGTTATTCTAGACTATTTTCTTCTTCTTTCCCCTGCAAAAAATACCTTGAGCATCATGAAATAAATAATTCAAAATGAGAAGAATGAGTACCTACCACTCCAAAAGAGCCTCAGGCAGTTGTGTGAATAATAAAACTGACCAATGTGGAACCCATTTCTTTGTCTTTTAATTTCAGAATATCATAGACTTCTTCAAAATYAAGAAGTCTGCAGATTTCTGTGCAGATTTTCTGTGAATCATTATGAATTGTCCTTAACTGGTGTTTAATCTCCTTACTGTTCTGTTTCCTTATTGTGTTTTTCCTTGCAAAGATGAAACCAGTTTGCCATTAAAGGGTGTGTGGAGGCTTTTGGCATGACAGATTAATGACAAGGTAGGATGTGACAGGTGCCCTGGCCTCATGGATCGCTTGTGTCAGTGGCCACCTTTGCTTTAGCATCATGGATGGGTGAACGTGGTTGTTGGGACCACTTGGGTGTTTGTGGCCAAGCGAGATGTGTTGTTCCTGGGAGGAAGGCTGTGGAGTGGGAGTGCAGCAACTCTAAATGTGAATGAAGGAGTAGAGAGTTTTTCTCAACTAGCATCTAGTCTGCCTGAATAGCGGCAGCCAGCGGGGCCGGGCCGTGTGCGAGCCGGCTGTGGAGCTCCTCAGGCTCCAGTCTGTTGCCGTTTCAAGCGCTGTCCTCTTGAAAACTGTGTGGGAGTAGGAACTGTTAGGGATGAGCGATTGGATTTTTTATCATTTGAAATAACCCATTAAAATCAGTTACTCAGCTCTGGAAACACAGAGTGAATGACCGGGCACTAGGCTGTCTGCAGCTCAGGGCCTCAGCAGCGCCATGTTGGAAACCACCTCAGTCGCAAGGAGTATGAGAGAACAGCACGGATACACCTCTGAGGAGAGGACTTGTTAAGTGTATTTTCAGGAGAGGAGAGGCCTATTGTAAGATAATAACTAAATATGAGGAAAAGTAAAACTAATCTGTAAGTAGAGAGCTAGTATAGAAATGAATAAATAAGCACCTGATGCGGTTCTGTGGAAGTCTGCTTGGTGGAGAGTACAGGACTTCTGGAAGCTTCCACATATTTGAAAATACCATACAGGGGATACCAGTCCTATTGCTTTGGCTAGAATGCTCTAAAACAACACTAAAATATTATTTTGTCCTTTTTTTTTTTTTTTTGAAAATGTGAGAGAAATTTCTGTACTGGCTGTGCTTCTGATACACCAAAGATTGGCGTTTAGTAGTAGTTCAGATGTTTTATTTCATCTTTCCAAGCAGCACTGCCTACTCCTCGAGACTTTCCAAACTGTTTGGATAAGGAGCAATCTGTCCTGATGACCAAGATTATTTATTCAAGCCGCAGAGAACAACTTCTTTTTCTTCAGTGTTCAAGGTACATGGAGGTTTGTATTAACAATTAACTTCCCTTAACGTGTTAGTGTCGACCAAGGCCCGGCTCATCTCTTCAGCTCTTTCCATCATCAGCCTCTGCTGCTAATGCTCCTRTTTTCTCCCAAACAGCTCTATTTGTTTTCCTTGGTACTCAGTCTAGTTTCACTGTTTCATCTTATTGTATGAAACTCCATAGGCATTTATTCGGTCTCTAGTCTTAAATCTGATCCTGCAATCGCTTATGCATTTCAAGTATTAAAATTCAGATTAGGAAATGAATATATTTTACTATTTTATTTTACCTATCATTAAGCTTTAATTTTACTTTCTGCTGTCTTGTTATGGTTGATTAACCTTTCCAAATGGTTTCTTCTGTTCATTTAAAGGTTGAATATCATTTTTTAAAAGAAATATTGTTCTGTTCTTAAAAATGGTATTTGTGGATGAATGTCATATTTAGACAAATAATGCAGGAAAAAAAATACAGCTTTATTTCCTTTTTGATAGTTTCCCTATTGGAGCATACTAACTGCCCGCTAGTTCTCCAGAAAATGCATACAACTGACTTAAACATTAGAGTTACTTGTGGCAAAACACTTACTCATTTAGTCTAGGAAAATCAGAAGCAAAAGGAAATGGGGAGATAGTGAAATCTCTAATTTAAAAAAAAGAGTATATATACATATTTATCTGAAATAAATTAACCCTCTGCCATTATATCTTTTACATAAAGGACTCCATTTGGAAAATAAAAGGCAGTTACTGATCAACAAGCAGGACTATAGATGGAAGAACTTTGGTACAAAAAAAAAGTAAGAAGAAATGGTGACAATCTTTCCTTTGCAGCTGCATGTAAGTGAACATAAGCAGAGCAGTTGTCTGAATGAAGATAACTGCTTGTAAGATATTCTTAACTGAATGTAAAGAATCACTTGCCCAGTGTAAAAGGAACCGTAAAAAATTTTAAATGCCAATGTTGCCTATAAAACATAACAATATGATGAGATCTGAGAATGGCAGTGTATGATACAGTAACAAATGTAGATGATACGGAGCAAATGTAGATTTATCTTTTCAGATGTCCTTTTCGTTCTTAAAAAGCCATGAAGCCTGTTGCTTCCATGCACAGAGGAAGCYGAAAAAGTTGGTAGACACTTGTACTTAAATTCATATATAGAAACAGCTTTTTGCTTTTTCTTCATGCTTCTTCTTGATGTGCTCGTCTGTCCAGCTATAATTATCCATCCTTTTTTTTTCCAATTACATGCTTTACAATGTTTAGCAGCTATTCCAAGAGGCTTATTCCTGTGTGACAAGATTTAATTAAACTTCCAGTGAAATAATTAGTGAGGGTATCTCAAAAGGCTGTTTAAAATCAATGTGGTACTGCGGACCAAATAGAGTTAACACTGTCAGCAAAGATCAAAGTCACCAAGGAACGTGACTGAAAATTAAACCCCCAGCAACACTCTAATGAAGAAGCATACTGAAGTGGTTGTGATTTTCTGCCTCTTGGGTCCTATCTACAAATTGATTTGACATGGAAAATTTCCCTCAGGAAGCTTAAAAATGGTAAATTTCCATTAATTACATAGGAAAGAACATTCTTTCTATAATTTATAATCCATTAGAAAAAAATTCTTGGTTTTTGTCACTATCTCCCATTATCTGTGTTCTTGCTGATGGAGGTTGGCTGGAGGTGGCTCGACTGGCTTGGTCTACTGCTGCATCATGTAGTTTGAGGCAGAGGAAAGGGAATGCTGGGATATTCCAAGGAGCTGAAGAGAGGAAAGCTCTTAGAGCACTAGGTTCTTGAGGCACACTATAAATCCAAGCCCTGAGGCACGTTCTTGAATACCTTGGGAGTCCAAGGCAGAAACTTTACCCAATAATCTATAGCCTACTGCTGCCAGAAGTAGGCTGCTCGTATCCATTTCAGGGGGGAATTCTTTGAACTGAGGACACAATCCTAGTTCTGCCAAAGGCTTGTTCCTACATCAGTTTCATCCGTGATGTTTTGCAGGAATTAGACCAAGGTGCCTTATTCAGCAACACGGGACACAATGCAGTTAGTTTTTATCAATTGCCCGGCCTSTTCTGAGAATGGCTAACCAATCTTTTTGGATCCTCAGAGCTGCTTGAGCAAGTGGTACTCTATTTCTCTCCATATCTGGGGTATAAAGGTTGTCTCAGTGAGGATGACTCTGCAGAGCAGAACTAAATGATCAAAAATGTTCTGTTCTAGTTCTGTTCTTACATGTCACTTCTCTCATATAATAGGTAACGTTGGTACTTTGTGGTTGCTGCCTTTTTTTTTCTTTTTTTTCTCTCTTTAAACACCATCATATGCYGTTAACTTTTGGAATCCCTTGCCATAGGGCATGCACGTGAGCATTAAACTTAGCAGGGCTTTAGACTGGCCTTTGCACGTTTGGTCACATTTGAGTATCATCCTACTGGATGTGGTAGGAGAAGTTATCACAGGCTTATAATGCATGATTTTCYCTATGATTTGGCACCTGCAAACCGAGTCAGTGTTGAAAAATGGCTAAAAAAMTGTTTTTGTTTCTTTCTTTGAAGTGGAGATGCAAGAGAAAAAACGTAGACTTAAAAATGAAAGTTGTAGCAAATTACAATAGAGGCCAAAATTGCTGCTCTCAATTGAGCCAATTCCATTACTGTCAAAGGGCATGTGGCTCCTTTCAGCAGCAGTGACATAAACCTTTCTCAGAAAGGGGTGATCCCTGTATGGAGGGGAGAAATGGGTGTGATCTTTTTACCCTCCTCAGTCGGTTAGTTTGGGGAGATTTCTAGATATCATTCACTGCCTTACTCCTTTTTCTTTTCTTTCCTTTCTAAGCATGCCAAAAAACAAAATAGGAGATATCATTTTGCAGTCTTAACTATCTCAGACCCTTTTTGCACCCTTTTAATAATATTGATTAAAAGCAAAGACCTGTTTATAATTCGAGATTGGTAGAAGACCTGAGCTGCCTCTTAAGCTATTGTGTGTGYGCGCATGCCATACAGCGATTACACTTAAGGTGCTCTTTCTTCAGTGAGTGAAGTGAAAGCCCTGAGTACTGAAATAAGTATTCAGCACAGCTCTTAGGCAACAGAGGAGTGACGATAGGAATGTGAATTTCTATTTTCTATCTCATTTCTTCTCCTAACCTGATCCTGTTAAAAATCTTTACAAATGAGAACAATTCTTACCACATTCATAACTTGTTGCATTGGAGTGAGGGTGACTGTGATTTGTTCTTTTTTTTCTTTGTCTCCCACAAAAGTGCATGTTTTATTTGATCTACTTAAATGCTTAAAACGTTTATATACATATATATGAATTAGTCCTGCTTTATACAGTCTATAGCAGTAAGAAAGTGTTATTTTTTAAAATATGCTGTCAGTTCAGACACTATTATATTTATATATTCGGAATAATTTATGTTTAGGTTGTTCTGCACTCTCATAGGGTTGGGAAGGGAAATAAGCTTCTGGAAATTATTTGGCCTAATCTACTATTTTCTGGTTTAAGATTTAAGACGACCATGTGGTTTGATTTCCAAATAGGCGAGGGACGTATTTGCACAAGTCTGATATGCTGTGAACTTGCTTAACTGCTGCTTGTGTTGCAGAATGTTGCTGTGCAGTTGAAGACTTCCCCCACTGTGACTCCAAGTGCTTTTACTGTTTTTTTTTTTTTATTTTCTTTGCTATGGCTGCTGTGCAAATGTTTTAGTATTGGCTCCTGAACAGTATTTCTGACTGGAATACACAGGGTGGACTCCTGAGTTTTATAAGGTAACAAAAACAAAACCTGCGTTGCTGATGGAAGGAAGAGAAGGTGATTAAAGAAAATGCACATTTTTGCTGTCTTATCTGTGATTCAGCAAGTGTTGCTGAAGCACATTGCAGTCAYCTCCGTCAGTGATACTTAATTCATCTAAGAATAGCTGCTCTTTTATTACGATTTATGCATCCAACAAAAACATTTTCTTAAATGCCTGATGGACAATTAAATAAATATCGTGGTGGTGGGGTAGAATGTTCCAATTCATTTTGCATATTTTTCCTTTATCCTACTTTGACATTTTGATGATTTCTMACCAGAATGACTGTTTTCTTCAGATTCTCTTGTCTGATAAAATGGATAGGTTAGTAGAATAGGTTAGTAAGGTTAGTAGGGCTCATCAGTGATGGCCATTTACTAAACAGCTTTATAATTGCACAGTAGGATCTATAGGAGTTGATATTGCTGCTTTACCTGGAGATGTAGTTGTTGTGGTTGGCATTGTTTCTCCAGAGAGTTTTAAATTTGTCTGAAGATCCGTTAATTTTGCCACTTAAATGCTCTTCCCTGCGTACTTGTCTGTGACTGGTGTTCTTAGAGCTGTCATTTAGGATTTTGGGAAGATGTAAAGCTTAATTTCCTGTGTGTTTTTTTTCCTCCCTCTTTCAAGCTGTTGCTATCARTGCTGATTTTTAATATCTCCCAATTTAATTTTTTGTTGCAAGTACATTACCTAGCTTATCACAGTGCAAATGTAATCATTTGTTGTGTTTTTATACAGCTGGGCTTTTAACTGTCTGGAACCACAAGCCTAGTTGAGTCTGTACCTTGGTGAGGAAGGCAAAGGGGAACCAGGAGATGCGAGCGCTGCTGGATGTGTGAGACGAGGTGCAGGTATCGCAGGGAATGTGCAGGCACCTGGGGTCACAGTGCCTGTCAGCAGCCTTGCAGCTTCCAGGGCTCTTGGCAGCAACACGCTAGGGTTACATCTCTGATTAAATCCAGTTTGCAAACCTCTAAGGTGCAGGACAATGACCATGGGCTGCCCCTTGGCAGCAGCATGTGAAATGGAATGATCTCCCACTGTAATGTGTCAGTATTTGGAAGTTTTGGGTGTTGTGCCTGAGTGGGTACGTGTAACTGAGCATGTGTCTAAGCAGTCGGTGGCTGATGAAAGAGGTTGTGCATGTTAGAGATGAGTGGGTTAAGTTTTAAAAGAAGAAGGGTTGAAATATGTGGAGATAAAGGCAAAATATGATCAGCTTATCTTTTTTCTCCTCCCTTCCAAAAGGTAGCCATAGGGGAAAGATAAATCGCTGTGGATAWGTCAAAGATGACTTAAGGCTGTTACCAGTCACTCAATGAGCCTGCGTTCTTACAGCAGCTGCTGCTAAAGAGAGCTCTGTTGCTCTGTATGGCTCTAGACTGAATATTCTCACTTTTTATAGTAGCTCTTCAAATGAGTTCTGCTGAACCCTTGTGCCCTCCTGCATGTTAGATAGCTGAGACACTCCAGGAGAACAAGGAGGAGATAGGTGGCAAGCACAGCTTTAGCAAGCAGAGCTAAAAACAATGCTTTCTCTTTTTTGAATTTGGGAAAGCCCGTATCAGTGTGTTTAACAATGTAGAGATGGAACAAGATGACTTAGTTACTTCTTGCCTGTCTTCCTGTGATTCCTGTAATCCCCCTTTTCTGCCCTCCAGCAGCCGGCAGTGTAATTCAGGGTAGCGTAGCTGATGTGGAGCGAGGACAACTGGGTCTTGTAGGGCACCTGGAGACACCTCTGAATGGTGCTTCTAGGTGCCAGCGATGCCCCAAGAAAAGGAACTCTGAGGAACCTGGGAGGTTGCATGGGGTAGAGGCCAGTGTAAGGATATCTGAATTAACAGTGTTGCAGGAAAGCAGGAGAGCATATTCTGTCACGCTCTATGGGTTTACGTAAACAAGTAGTAGTAGATGAGATAGGAAGTGTGAGATTTTTTCCTTGTCATTTAGTGGAAGGGCTTGGGTGAAATGCACAGTCTGTTTCTCATTTCCAT